AATATATCAGATAAAATGTAATTAAAACTGACATGTCGATAGATGAACAATGCATAAAAGATTAAACAATATAATAAATCAACAAAAACAATAGATGGTATTAACGTTATGACGGATTGAAAAGTGGTGACAGGTTAACGACTTACTAGGAAGTTGACCTTAAAGTGGTTAATTTAAGAAGCATTAATTATATTGGCGATAGCAGATTATCACACCATCATAATATGACTCTTTTTACCTTCACTTTGAAGAGCGATAACTCTTGCGATACTAGAAGAGTATGCTGAATATACATGAAAAGCCGAAGGCTTTACGGGAAATAATAGTTTTAGATACAGGTTGACCAATATTATTATTAGCTGTACAGGTATAGTTATCTGTATGTTGACGACTAACTTTAGGTATGGTATATTGACTACCATAATAGATTTGTTCCCCTTGTTGTGATCTAGACCAGGATGGTACTGAAGATGGAAGACTGTCAACAGAACAGTTGAAGGTTACAGTAGAATATTCATCTATCATGTTGTCGGTAGTATCTGATGTTGACTCGTGATGAATAGAAAGATACAAGATTTACTGACAGAATTTGTTTACTGATATAAGTTCCTATAATCTTTAGTACCAGCCACCACGCCTTTCAGATAAATACAACTTAAACCATTCAGGATCAGTTTGAATTATACAAAATTCAGCTTTCAGGATCAGTTTGAATTATACAAAATTCAGCTTTTAGTCTGATCAATGTGACTTTTCACCCTTGGCTTGCTGGTCACTCTTCGACCTGACTTTTCAGTCCTGGCTTGCTGGTAACGCGCTTCGAGCTAACCTTTCACCCAGTGGCTTGCTGGTCACTCTTCGACCTGACTTTTCAGTCCTGGCTTGCTGGTCGCGCTTCGAGCTAACCTTTCACCCAGTGGCTTGCTGGTCGTGCTTCGAGCTGACTTTTCGCCCATGGCTCTCTGGTCGCTCTTCGAGCTAACCATTCACCCCTGGTTTGCTGGTCGTGGTTTTGATCTTACTAGAAAGACCCCTGCGCGTGCGCTAAGAAACCAAACATAAGACAACTTGTTAAACTACAAGTTAAACATCACGCGAAAATTATGAAAAAAATATATGTTATAGTTAATGCAAGTGTATGTAAAGTTATATGACTCTAGTATTAATATTGACTGCGATATGGTCTTTTGAATAGAGGTACCCTTTCGTAAGTTTTGAAAATACTATTATATGGCTTGAATTTTGTGATCTGATTTTATTTCTTTTAGTCAGTCTATATCCTCAAATTTTTTTAGGGTTTGTAAGAGAATGTTATATATTAAAAATTTACCATCAAATTTTTCAGAACAAGTACCGTCAAATGTGTATGGATTGCCTTTAAGATGGGTTCCCAGAAAAGTATTTATCGGGTGGTTATTTCCAATAAAAGTATGGCAATTTTGGTATATATGGAAAGTAGAGATATCCAATCTTACTAGAAAAATACTGGATTCCCCGAAAAACACTCATGGAGCGAATACAGGACAAAAATGTAAGGGCTCCCCTAATCGACAGCCCGACGATTAGGAATTTCTGCACGCGTGATGTCAAAGGTAGCACGAGAACATTGAGCGCTTGATGTACAAGTTGATAAACTTTAAGAAGAGTTAGACGTACAACACTTTCTGAGATAAAAATGACGGAAAAAGACGCGGGTATTGGATAATCCGAGAATTTAATTAGAATTCGATATTTGTAATAAATAGTAAGCGATTAAAGACAACATCGTCTTATGTGTGCAATGAATTCTCCTCTGACCTGGTTTGATCGAATTTTTATAGCAGGGCATTCCTTCTCAATTACAATGTTTGAGAAGGATTTGAAGCACAATTATGACAAATTAATTAGTTTGAATATGTTTTTAGTCCATATATACCATTAAATCACCCATTTTGTACGCGGGAATGTATCTTTAAGTGCCACAAATTGATACATGTGCAAAAATATCAATATGTCGATACAGAGTAGCAATTTTACTATACTATATTTACGAAAATATTTCTTCAATATAAATCATTGTCCAATAGACAAATGTGTAAGTATATCTAAAAAACATACTCTTTCTTTTTTGAAAAGCTATGTGTACCCATGAGATTCCTCTTACACGGGATTATCTTATGATGATTAAAGTATTGGAAGTGATATTAATATTATTATTCTTATAATAATACCGTAATTATAACAATGTGTGCTGTGAGTCTTCAATTTAGATTTAAACTGAGATAGGGTACACTATCTGATGTCTCTGGGTAGTTTATTCCAAGGTTTGGCACCCCTAATGGATAATGAAAACGCGTCCACCTGGCGCTGAAAGCGGGAAACAGCTAGTAGGGCTTTGTCACGCCCTGGACGAAGATTAGTCCTGCCAGTGGTGTAAACATTAAACATTTCCACCAGTGCGAAATGACCAAGGCGTTGAAAACAGTTTTGGGAGCACCCTGATTCAGGTAGGTCCTAATTTTGGAGATACACCTCATTTGGGAATGTACAAAGCTTATGATGTTGTTTATTTGCGGTAAAGCAGAAAGATGTCCATTCGTTAGATATCCATGATTTTTAACACTAGATTTTTGGAGGATATCACAGTTTCGAATCCGGATTGCATCAGCTTTTATTGAATTACGTGCTTGCGCCTTAGTTGATATTACCAGAAAGTTAGATTTATCATCGTTTAATTTCAGTTTGTTGTTCAACATCCATTTACAGATGTCCACAAGAAATTTTCTAGCTGCCTTAGGGATATAGGGATAATGTCATAGAATCATCGAAAGCAAAATAGTCGTATATCATCAGTAAATCCATGGTTGTATACATACAGTGCTTTCTTACTAGCTTGCCGAGTGGCAAGATATAGATGAGAAAGAGCAAGGGACCTAACACCGACCCCCGAGGAACGCCAATAGTTAATGATTTGGAAACTGACCTGTTGCATTGACTTTTCTGTGATCTATTCTGAAGGTACGATTTGATCCATTGCAATGCAGCACCACCCACCCCAGTAACCGTTTCTAAGCGCTTGAACGAGATCTCGTGATCTAAGATTCCAGGTGACACCCAGGTCCAAGTGAGCAATCTGGTTTCTGTCTAGCGCCAGGTCAATATCATTCTTTATCTTGATCAATGCTGTCTCTGTACTGTGTCCGACCTTATAAGCTGATTGTAGTCGATCATGTAGACCATATTTTATTAAATGGGAGCTAAATTGGTGGGAAATTATTTTATCAAAAAAAAAAAAAAAAACAGTAGGTTAGAAGCCGGCCTATAGTTTTTAGAACATCAGAAACCAGAATAATGAAAGAAGTGGTAAAAATGTTTTACTTTGTTTCAACAGCCAAGTTGACATGACGTCAAGATTACAGTTAGAAGAATCGCTATTTAGTATGATATCTGTTATATGGTCGCATGATGCCGATACGAACTGATTCAGGAATCCTACCGAAGTAATAGATGCTAACGGTTTTGGAGATTTTAGTGTCTTTGATTTAAGCGACGCATGTTCATCCAAGACACGGAGTTCAGAACTTTTATTTGTTTCATTTTGGGAATTTACGTTGTTATCAGATGTAGTGGTGTTGACTATCGTAGCATGTAAATCGTCAACGAATTTCTGAGTATCAAGATGTTTTAATTTTCTACTTGTGACTGTAACTTTCATAGCAGGTTCAAACATGTATTTTAAACAACCGGTTATTGGGTGATGATCAGAGATTATGTCCTCTCCAACAGTTACTCTGCTTATAACCTAATCAACGATGTGTCCATGACGGTCAGGGGGTTTAGTAACATGCTGACTTAGATCGAACGGCGTCAGTATATCACAAGATTGCGAGTCATAAGAGTCCTATTCATTTTCAAAATAATAGTAGATATCACCTAAAAGCATAAAGAAAACTTTTAAGAAGACAAGTTGTGAGAGAAACGTTGAAAATTCTACAAGCAATGCCTTAGTAGTAATTTTGGTTTTTGCTGAAGGAGGAGGGTGGTACGTATTGTTTTAGAAAGAACACGACTATGTCGAATGGTTGTCTAACGCTTTATTTGACTCCTGTGTAATTTTGTAGAATAAACCAGTGCTGCCCCTTTGCTTGTTAGCTGTAGGTTGGTGATAAACGAATAATTACTGACACAAACAAAGGTCATGTATAACTGGAAAATCGTTATCAGTTAGCCAAGTTGCACTTATGGCCAAAAAGTCGATGTTTTAATCGTTACAAACTCACTAATCTGTACAATGTTCTTCCGGACTGATCTAGCATTCAGGAGACCCATCGTAGCACCTTTGTTCAAGTTACAAGTGTTCAGATCCGCGGGTATAGTGTCAATTTCTATTAAATTATATTAAGAGGATTAAAGTTAGTTGTTAAATACTTTATAACATTAGAGTTACTTATATTCGATTCAGTATTTGTGGAGAACACTTCAGTGATTACCTGTACGAACCTTTGTTTCTGGAACCATCTCGTTTACCCCTTCTAGTTAGCTTTGTATTGATAATCCCCAATTTACAACGGTAGGACAAAACATTTTGATTAATCCTTCGAGGAGCACAATTAAAATCAACCAGTTGTTGGCGATTATCTGATGAGTTATCAAATGGGTATGTGAAAATTATGGTATCTCCCAGGCCTGATATTGATGCGTAATTGTTAAATACGCAGACAATGCTCTCAGAAAGTCGTGTTTCCTGATGATCAAAATACCCCCCCCCCCCCCAAAAAAAAGAAAGCAACCATCTTGGATTTTCCGACTCTACTGTATCCCAAATAAGGACAAACAGACAGACAGACCGACAGGGCAATTTTAATAGCCGTCTGTGTTCTTTGAATGTGGTGGGAAGTCCGTTTTTTTTAAAATCCCCACAGCTATTTAACTGCGTTTCTCCGGTTAAAAAGAAAAACAACAATTTGTGAGTTTTATAAATATTTCTGATTTATTAAGAGAATCTCAACATATTACAACATTAAAGTTTACACATTTAAATAGTATTCGATACAAAATAATTAGTTATATTTATGTACAAACATTTGAAACGGTATTTGGTAACTGTAGCAACATCCATATTATTAGTTTTTAAGATTACGATAGTTTACTTGTACAAAAGACAACCAGATGTGGGACTATGGTTTAAGGGAGTGGGAGGGGTTACATTCCTGAAAAGGACCCGAACAGATAAAAATAGCAGAGCCGTATGTACATACTAATATTAAAACATTTACAATAAACATACATCATGTCAAATTTAGATAAAGAGCTGACAGGTGTCGCCATAATGGTTAAAAAAGATAGATACTGAGCATATGCTGAAAATTCCAGTAAAATTAGTTCATTCCAGAGTTATCGTCGATCGCAGAACAGTTTAGCCACAATTGTCATTGTTACCGTTAGTAACGATAATAAAAAAAAGTCTCGATTATCCATTTTAAAGTTAAATTGTTAAACACAAATCGTATCTAAATCTATTGAAAATCTAGAGCATCCGATGGCATCGAGATGTCAAGTTAATAAATATCTAATTAATAATTTATATAACATTAGGTCTAAAGAAAGATCTGCAATAGGCAGATTTAGCACTTGATAATGCCCGTTAAACATATTAAATATACCCTTTAATTACTTATCTTGTGCAAAACACTAGGACTTTAAACCCCATTTCATTTGTTAATTACTTTAATGTATCTACTGTGTCGTTGTCACACTCCCGTACTGTGTTGTTTTCATGCTGTGTTGGTTCACCTGGCCCTTGGTCTTTTGTGTTTACATGCACGTTAGCGATAGTGTCATACAAGTCATCTGTTATATTGTCATAATGGCTGGTTGGTTCACCTTGGTCTTTTGTGTTTACATCCACGTTAGCGATAGTGTCATCTGTTATATTGTCATAATGGCTGGTTGGTTCACCTTGGTCTTTTGTGTTTACATGTACGTTAGCGATAGTGTCATACAAGTCATCTGTTATATTGTCACAATGGCTGGTTGGTTCACCTTGGTCTTTTGTGTTTACATGCACGTTAGGGATAGTGTGATCTGTTATGATGTCATACACATGTTCTGTTATATTGTCATTATGGCTTGTTGTGTTTTCAAAATGGACAGTTGTTTGAGGTTTCTTGATATTTTGTCTTATAAACCTGATAATTAAAATATTGTTATTATTTTTTTTTCATCAATAATATCCTATTCACAGCAGTTTACTCGGACACAGAACGGGCCAATATTTCCTCTCTCCTACGTCATAAAACATAAATACACGAATAGATCTCGTTCCACCTGAATGGCTAGACAGCTGTCGTTATCAGGGTATCCGACGCACGACTGACACGGGGAACCCACGTCGAAAAATCCAGATGAACTTTCTCTGCCAGTGCAGGGATCGAACACGCAACCTCCAGGCTAGCGAGCCAGCTTCTTGCCCACTTAGCCACAGTGGCTCCGAATATCCAAATAAAATGTTGCATATTGTTATTGGTGTTTCTATTTGCAACGGAAGTCGACACAATAATTATTAATAAATAAAGCAATAGTATGGTTTGACATTATATAAAAATCAGTGAATATATATCTATGTTGGTATTTATGATTTACCATGTTAGTTATTGATTGTCAGTCTAGTTTGCCTTTAGTGCCCCCTCCACCCTCCACTGTTATTATAATATTAAAGTTTATTTATAAATATAATGATATATATCTTACCATGTTATAAAACCTGCAAAAATGATGAATACCAAAACACCACTTATAATCCCTGTTAGCATAACCTCATACTCTAGGCCGACTGTAAAATTAATATACATACTGTTTATACTGATATAAAACATGTGATTATTTACAACAATAGATTCATCCTGATATATATAACGATAGAGTCATAATCTTATGATGAAATGAAATGGGATTTAATGTCCTACCAATGATAAAATTACAAACCGGGACACTGTTGATTACATTCAACTGTCTCTGTAGAGTTACCAATACAATACATTCCACCATTAGCTACTGCAGGATTATCACAATTCCTTGTCCTGGTTTTGTTACCTCCACCACATGAAACAGAGCAGATACTGTATTCCGACCAGTTACTCCAACCGCCGTTCGTCTCTGTAACAGTACATGTAAACTGTATTATTTACTACCCGTGCTCTAATATAGTGATAGTAACATGAAATATACTCTAATATAGTGATAGTAACATCAAATATATTACACTCAACTACTCTAATATAGTCATAATAACATCAAATATACCACACTCGACTACTCTAATATAGTGATAGTAACATCAAATATACCACACCCAACTACTTTAATATAGTGATAGTAACATCAAATATACCACACCCAACTACTTTAATATAGTGATAGTAACATCAAATGTACCAAAAAATGAAATGAAATGGGGTTTAATGTCCTACTGTTCTGCTCCTATACTGGGCTAATGAAGAAGGGCATAAGCCATACAATGTGCTATGAGGGAAATTTTGCCCGGGCAGCGTCACTATCGCCTACTCTTATATCGAATTCCAACTGCCAAGGAATCTTTTACGTGCATTACAATGTATACACGGGACCTCGGTTTTTCGTCTCAGGCCCTCCGTTCTCCAGCACTGACAAGGGGAAACCACGTAGGAAAATCTAGATGAACTTTCTCGGCCAATGCAGGGATCGAACACCTGACCTCAAGGCTAGCCAGTCCGCGTCTTAACCACCTAGCCACCTTGGCTACTCAAATGTACCAGACCCAACTACTTTAACCATGCATTATGCAAGTGAAAAATCTGCTTATTACAAGTCTTTCTTTAGGCCTGAAATGTTATCTAAATTATCAATTAGACATTAATTAACTTATCCAGACCATAATAAACTCTCGATGTCAAGGCTAGCCTTCGATGTTGGCTGGATTAGATTCCTATATGCCGCTAACGGCTATTGATAATTAAATCAGATAATCGAGACTATGCTGTTTATATTAATGATTTTAGTAATGATGACCGAGACTATGCAAAAATTTCACCCGCTTCTTTCTCGGCTCATAGTGGATCAATTTGACTGAAATTTCCAGCAAATTACCTTTACACTATCTAGTTTTTAACTATTATAGCGAGAACTGCCATCTCTTTATCTTATCTCCCATAATGTATCTTTAATATAGTGATAGTAACATCAAATATACCACACTCTACTACTTTAATATAGTGATAATAACATGAAATATACCACATTCAACTAATCTAATATAGTGATAGTAACATCAAATATACCACACCCAACTACTTTAATATAGTGAGAGTATCATATACCACGCTCAACTAATCTAATATAGTTATATTAACATCAAATATACCGCACTCAACTACTGTGCAATTTCTAATTCGTTGTTTTGTTTGTTTAGATTGCCTGTTTTTAAAACTGTCTTTATTATTAAACCGTCTATTCTTGCAATCCTCAATATATCCTCAATTATATTGGACATGTAGGTACACATTTCATTGTGATAAATACAAATATTCACCTGGTTTAAAACAATCACATGACGCCTCCACCATCTCAGGACCTACAATAAAGTAAAACCGGACTAATAAAACTACAAATACGTCATCTAATTGTATTTTGTCAGGTTGTAAATATAAACAAGGTAATTAAAACCGAAATATATTACAAAATAATTACATAACATAAACAATACTTCTACATGTTAATCTAAATAGCGGGCAGACAGCTAGCGTATAATATAAGAAAATTGTGTTAAATCGGCATGTAATATGGATAGTATATATATATATATATATATTTTACATGCAAAAATCCTACCGTAAAAATCTATCCATATAACATCAAGGGAGTCAGCGGTCAAATCATTGAACTCTATCATAGCTTTGCTGTAGATCGGGTGACCGTCGAATTCTGCGAGAATTAGGTCATCATCGTTACATGTGTATACAGGTTTATCGTTAACTGTTACTGTGACCTTGTTACACGATCTGCTTTCCAAGAAGATGTATTTAATTTGAAAATTAAACTTTCTAGCACTAGTTATATTACAAGAACATGTTAATCCTTTAACTGGTGATACTTTACCACTAAAGTACAGATTGAAAAAAAACCGTGATACTCTATCAGTTGTCATGATGTTATATATCTGAGACTCTGTAAATATATATTAAACATACAACTAACAACTATTATATTTAATAATCATTGTTGTTTTTTTTATAGAACAACATATCAAATTAAATATGGAAATAACATACGCTTATTACCTTCTTACTGTGAGTTTATACAGTTAAAAGTTGGATTAGTTATTTCTTGGTTTTGTTGTTAGAATAGATACATCTGAATAAAACAGATACATCTTTATTTAGTTATTCATTTTATACTAAGTTTTAATAAAAACCAGTATGGAAGAAATGTGAAACGATGGTGTTAATGGGATGTAATTTTTAAAATAATGGCCATGATTTAAAAAATATGTACAGCTGTTACCTTCAGAATACTTACCAGGCAAACAGAATTGATCCTTGATCCTTACCGGGCAAACAGAATTGATCCTTGTTTACGTACGGATGTTATCATTAGAATACTTACTAGGCATACAAAAATGAAGAAATTCTCCGTAATCATAATTAGTACCAGCAATATAAGGAAAGGTAAAGTGACAGGACTGTTGATAAGAACAGGCTTGATAAATAGGTAAAGTATCCTTTAGACTTAAAGTATTTTTAATATCGCCAGTACTACTGGTACAGCAGTGACTATCACAACCATTCTTATCCTGTAGCTGCCGACAGCCTTCAGAGCTTGGTTTGGTATAGGCATGCATAGGCCCTAATATATGAATACGTTGACCTCTAGGACAAGTTAGAGTATAATTAGAACATGGTGATCCAGGGTGTCGATAACAATATTCATCTGATACGACAACCATCACTAGAATACAAGAATTAGATTGTGATTTGAATGTGGAAAAACCTATACATTTTCATCACGATAATAAAATATGGTACCAACCATGTGAACAATATGATACCATTACCATAATAAAAGAATCAGATAATTTATAGAATGGTAATACCACCACCATTGCTATAATAGAACAGGCAGTGTGTATGTCTAAAATAACACCGCCATTACTATAATAAAACAGAGAGATTGTCTAGAATGGTAATACTACCACCATTACTATATATAATAAAACAATCAGATAGTATATCTAGATTATGGTAATAACACCACCATTACTATAATAAAACAATTAGAGAGTATGTCTAGAGTATGGTAACAACATCACCATTACTATAATAAAACTATTAGAGGGTATGTCTAGACTATGGTAATAACATCACCATTACTATAATAAAACAATTAGAGAGTATGTCTAGAGTATGGTAACAACATCACCATTACTATAATAAAACTATTAGAGAGTATGTCTAGACTATGGTAATAACATCACCATTACTATAATAAAACAATCAGAGAGTATGTCTAGAATGGTATTACCACCACCATTACTATAATAAAACAATCAGAGAGTATGTCTAGTATGGTATTACCACCACCATTACTATAATAAAACAATAAAATGAAATGAAATGTTGTTTAATGGCACGTCAGCTGCAACCGGGATATATTGCGCCAAACATATGGTGAGGGTTCTCGAGACAAACTAGAAACATATAATCACATATTATCTATATATACATAAATAAAAACAAATATCACAGTAAATATCAAATAAACATAAATATAGACTTTATGTATATATTTAAAACATGACCGGGAAAAATCAGATATATACAATTAAAATTTTCGATAAAAATGTGTCTCTTTTAAAAAATCTAGCGCTTTACAATATAGACCCGTTTGGGCAAACAACTGATGAAGAGATTGGCAACGGTGATGCCGTAATCTTTTATCTTTGAGATGCTTGAACTCAATCGAAATGTGCTTAACTCTCAAAGGAACATGACAGTATTCACATTCTGGTTGAGCCCCTCGCTTTAAGATGAAAATATGTGTTAAAAATGTATGACCTATGCGAGAGCGACACAAAACAACTTCATCTCTCCTACGATAGAAGCTTGGCATAAAACAATCAGAGACAACCCACAACCATGATTATTATGATAATATAATAAATGACCAAAATACCTGAATACAGGAATACAAAAACATTTAGATATGATTTCATCGTCATGCACGCCATAATCTGAAATAGTTAGGTTAATTCTGACAACGGTAATGGTTTAATCAATTGTCTGTAAGAAGGTTGCCTTCGATCAAATCTGTTTGTGCCCACACTATCCCAAGACCGTTGCCAGCAGTAATGGATGTTCAAGTTGTTTATTGAGGATTGCTTTAAAGGGAGAACAGAGAATCGGTAAAGATAACGTACTATAGTATATTTGATGATTGTATGAATTCCAAGGCCTGCAACAATCCAGATTGGAATACTCAAGATACCAACAAACCGTCGATTGATCAATATCTCCCTGGTTTTACACATGCAGCTGGTTAAAACGATCGGACGATAGTTTACAGGGTTCGTAGGATTTTTACAACGTTTAGAGACAGGATATATGTAGTATTCATCATTATGGGACTGCCTGTAAATTAAGTCGGGGGGAGAACTAGGATGATGAATTAAAAGAAAATTTTGCTAACCAGAGAATTTGTAACTGATTATGCACTACTTTTATTTTTAATCCACTCGTCTTCATTAGCCAAATCGAAACATAACAGTAATACGTTAAACCCCATTTCGTTTCATTTCATTTTTAATCCAGCGAATCCTATCTCAGACTGAAATGAATGTGGTATGGGAATTGATCCTTGGGACGTTACCTTGCCAAAGAGATTTCTTTGCTGGAAGTATTGTTCTACGGACCTTCGCCCAGACGATTTGATATGCTGCAATATTGTCCATGGGAGAGTGATTGATCCAAGCCGTCGCTCTATGGAATAAGACACAAAGGTACATTTGCTCAGTGAATAGCATTGAACTCAAAATTGGGATCGTGCCTTGCACACGAGCTAAAACGACGAAATCCGAATGATCAGAGTGGCCAAGTCTGACCTCTCGTCATGGTGAACCAGGGGCCAAAGTGTTCACAAGCCACATTCCCACTCAATTACTAGGATTATACTCGGCGCTCAACGCACGCTAAACACGTTGTCCCCCTTACAGGGATCCATTTAATCACGTCGGACACACGAAGGGTATATTTTTATCATATACTTGAGATAATTTTAGTTTTGGCATCACTGACTATACCTTTGGTTATTACAAACGGCAATATTTTAGATAGGTCGATAGACTGACTCTTTATCGAGCGAAACAGCGCAAGCCAAATACCGAATCAGTTACCATAAGTACACCGACACGGGTCACGAAGGTTATATTCTTATCAACACCTGCATACCCTTATTAATCCAACACAGTTCTAGAAATGGGATTTCCAATAATTTAATAATAAGTAAACTAATTACCCGTTGATGTAAGTTGAATTGATAATATATGTTTATATGTATGTACAGTTACCAAATATCGTATACTTACCTGTGCTACCAAGTTTAGCTTTCAGTTCAAAATCATTTGACTTTTAGACAAACTTGATTTAAACTCTAACAATGTATTAATTCAATATAATATAGTATAAATTTCACGTGGTCTTAAATTGGCGTTTCATGGTGAAATAAATGATTAATTATTCTAGGTAAAGCCGATACATTCTGGTGGATATTTAATTTCATTTTCTTTTTTAATTAGTTGAGTCGTGGAAAGTTCATAGCAAAATAAAACGATCCATGTAGACGATATTTGATAATATTTATTAAAATTAATTTGAGACCATATCGTAGTACAATTACGGTCCATAATTAATAATAAAATAAAAGTCAAAATTAGGCGCAAAAATACTACACTGTGGCGGTCATCCGGTCGCGTTATGAAAGTCGAGATCATGGCCCTGTTTCTCGAAATCTTAACTAAAGTTAAAATCCGAATTTTAGTAGATACTTCAACTTTGATTGGCTAAGCACTGAAATCAGTCTAATATTATCCAATCAAATTACTAAAATTTCGATTTTATCTTAGTGAAACAGGCCCCTGAACTTTAGTCATCACATTATCTGCGTTTAAAGGTACAGTGCCCATTTAACGGGAAGACCACCTATTTTCAACAAAGTTTCCATAAACCTTAAGTATGTATTATGGAACAATCACCGCTGTAACATAAACAAAAACGATTTTGTAAGCGAGAAATTAATTTTTATAAAAACTGGAAGAGCTGTTATTGGTTCAACACGCTCGCTGGTCTCTACAGCAAACATACACATTTTTTGGCCTAATGCTGTGACGGCTATAACCAAATAACTCAATCAAATCAAATTCAATCGTATTAAATAATCTAACAAATGTTTACCACCCGGACTTGGGCTTTGGGCAAACCAAATAAATCAACTGGAAGTTTGCCACCCGCAGTTTGACTTTTAGCAAACCTTAAATCAATTCAAGTAGCCATATAGTCAAACTTCATATTTCATTCCAAAAGGATCATTCAAATTAAAACTTGTCCAAAAATTGTCACAATTTAGATAAAATAATTCGCATGAAAATCACTCTAAACTTTCCTAAATTTAGAAAAAATAATTCGTTTGAAATTCTGTCTAAACTTGTCTAAATTTGATACATAAAAATAGTCATAATTTAGTAGGGATGAGAATATTATGTTTAACATGTTATCGGAAAATTACGATTGCACCATTTGGCCAATAGAGATTATTTTTGACCAATTACATAATTGAAGGTCCAAATCCCAAAACTATCATATCTGTGAGCAATCGCACGACAGCAGCTTGATTCTGGAAGGGAAAAGATGTAGCAATTTCTATCAGCAGACTAGCGAGTCTGGATGGGATTTGAGAGAACGACTTTACTGTTATTGTACTGTTTGTATCTATGTATCCGGCTATGATGTATACAGTGTAAAAACGAACTGTTGCATTGTTATTCATGGCAAGACAAACGTCTTAACCCTCTTTGTGTCACTTGTTGAAATAGTGGTAGGAA